TTATGAATATCAAATGTGTAGGATCTAAGACTGACCCTGAAGAAATTCTGCCAGTAGTCTTCTAAGCTTACTGCAAGTCTGATGGTAAAGGTATTTTTTTCCTGCACTTACGTAGAACTATTTTTTTTCTTGATAGATTAACTAAAATTTATTTTTGCCAACTGTTCTTTTTTCCCATTATTTTAAGATGGAAAAGATATTGACCCAGGTCCTTGAGCATATAAAGGAGACTAGCTCTCACCATCCATGGCAGTCATGAATAGAAAAACAGATTAAATTTCATTTGCTACATATTTGAACAGCAAATTCTGCAATTTCTTAAATCAGAAATTTCTGAGCACTTGAAAATAACAAATTTTCACTAAAAATGTAAAAATTCGCAGACTTTCACATTCATCCTGCCTATGTTATCTATTAAAAATAAATGATAAAGTATTTCATTATCATTGGTCCATTCCTTGATTACCTTTAATATCAATATCTTGTTTATTTCACATTTTTTCCTGCTCTATATACTTTCCTAACTTTTAAAAATTCTTTTTACACCTTAATTTTTTGGTGACTGTTTTGTTATTCTTACCTTTTCCATTATTTGGATTTTATTATGTATGCTTTTTATTTATTCTGAATATCTTTCAGTGGGTACGTCCCTGGATCCTCAGATGTAACATATACTGACTTAGAAACGTACAATTTCCTGCAATATAAACTTTGGGCAGATGTTATACCTTCGGCTCAGAGACATTCCAAAACACATTCATTTCTAGACTGAACTGCTAATTCCAGCTTATTAAATAATTTCCTGCTATTTAATGATAACTTGTTCCACTGTTATTTGATATGATCAGCTTTTCTATAGTGTCTTAATTATTAATCAAAACAAGACTATAGTACTATTATTTCTTCACAGTTAGTCACTAGTGGATAAAGAATCTGCTAATTATCACAGCTGGAACACAAGGTCATTAGTGGTATTTACTATCCAAACTACTTTGAGCAGCTAAATTCTCTCATAAATAACTGAGTTCTGTAATATTTATCTAAAATTAGAAAGGTTTTTCTCAGCATCCAAGTTTATCAGGAACACCAGCAACTGACCTCTAATTCAGCTTCCAGTTTCTTTAATTGTTCTTTTCTGAAATGACATGGAAACCAAGGATGTTCTTTTGTATCCAAGCATTGATTTTGTATTTCCTCGCATAATCAACATGTTATGACATCCAATCATTTTTACTTTTATTTTGTCTTCCCTATGTTGCTCATGCTTCGTCTAGTCATGCTTGTTAAAGCAAGCCTACCTGACTGTCACTCTTATCAGTGCACCCTTTACTGTTTTCTTGCATTCATACCTTTATGCAGTCATATTTCCTTCTTCATTGCTGTATTTCATATTTTCCCATTTTTCCTCTTCCAGTGAATTAAAACTACATATTAATATTACATATGATTTACCTGGTACTGAAAGCTTGTATCAGTAGTCTCAACATTCTTAGCCCCTTAATATTTAAGTGGAGTGTAGTCATCAAGAAAAATCTCCAAAGAATATATAAATGTTAAAACAAACAATGCTTAATGCTGCTTTTGTTCATTGTTTTATTTTCAGTATCTTGTGCCTTTACAATTTTTATTCTCTATGGATCAAAGTCACCTGTGCTTGCACTGAAGTTCAGTGCTTTGTTTTAGTGTGTTCTAGCATGAATCTGATAGCATTATTTTCCTGGCAGAAAGTTCAGTCATAAGGTTTCTCCCTGCTCCTTTTCAGCCTCAGGCCTGCACATCGCAACCTTTCTTCTGGCAGGCAGTCTAACTTGCTTTGCTTTCTATGCTCTGGTGTCCCTTTCTTTTATTAAAGGGTTCCTTTATGAAAGGTTCAGGCTTGTCTTTCTCTGGTGCTGGACCGTGTCTATTGTGACCTGTTCTGCCTTCTTATTGAAGATAATTGTGCATCTTATTTTGTATCCTGCATCTTCTGTGTAACATCCTCATTCCCTCTTCAGAACTGGTCCCTGACTCTCATAATCTCTTTTATATCACTGAAACATCCATGCTTTCTTTTTCTTCTCTCCTTGACTGTTTGCTTTCTTCCTTTCCTAAGGTCTCCAGGAAAAACACCTCCTTCAAACTTTTCTACTGCATTAAGCCATTTTTCCAAGAGGGTGTCATCTAGTTTTTTTTCCTCCTGGGTTATCTAGCTATTTTTGTACAAACTTTTATCTGCTTCTCCATTCTATTCTTTATTTTTCATTACATTCATCTGTATCTTTATTTAGCTCCTGGATAGTCTCTCCCATGAGCTATATCCTGGTGATGTTTCATATGAAATCAAAAGGCCAATGAAGGACAAGAAATGTCTTAAAACATCTATAGCCAGCCAGGCTTTTTCCTCCCTTCAACTTTGGGTTATCCCCATCATTGATCCCTCAATAACCATTGGTATAATGATTTTCTAAGTACCTGACTTAGAGAGAGAGATAAAAGGATTAGGCCCTCCAGGTACTTATGAAAAAGCTCTCAGCATTTTGCTCATGTTTTCTGAGATTCTTTTGTCACTGGAAGGTTGTTTTTTAAGCCTTTTGCTTCAGTCAGAGACACTTTATGTAATCAGAAGGCAGTCAGTTGTGTTCACAGAGGGGGACACCTTACTCAGTACCACCTGCAAAGCTGCTTGCTTAGGCACTACTCAGACAAAAATGGCTTCTGAATGTAGCTAAAACATGCAGTCACAGTCATACAGAAAAGAAAGATGCCTTCATTATTAATAAATGAGAAATTTCTTCCTGGTCCAGAACCTGTCCTACACAAACTCTCATTTTTTTCCTGTGTGCTTATCAGAGGCAACAGATTTTAAACTTCCTTCAATAAATCTGTTATGCCAGTAAACAATTATAGATCCATCTGTAGATGTGGGGAACCTTTTAATATGTAACATAAAGTTTTTTTAACTTTTAATAATTTTATCCTAGGCCTTTATTCTAGATGTTTGCAGAGCAGTGAACTGAATCTGTGATGAAAAGCAAGTAAGCTGAGGGTTTGCTAGATCAGCCCTAGGACCCCAATATATTGTACTGTCAATCCTTATTTAATATCTCCTCTTCAATAGAAATCCTTGTGAAAATGTGCCTTCAGTTGTTTAGCTCCTTAAGTGTAAAAGTCCATGCTGCTTTCAAAATCAGTTCTCCCTTTTTCATAGCAAACTGAAATGGCTATTATCCTGTCTCCATATTACCCAGAACTTAGCTGTGATACTCCGTTTTGTTATTCCTTTAAATTTTCAGTATATCACCTAGGGTTGTTCTGGATAAAAGCTTTTTATAAATTAATTTTGCACTTTGTTGTCACGGCATCCTATATTTTTTCCTCAAACGTAAGTCCTTTAAAGTATTTAGCCCCATAGAATTCCTCTTACCAAAGAAAAGTCTGATGTACAGAGACATACAGAGACTGAATTAGGAAAACTATGATGGCTAAGTACTTTCAAGTAACTGAATTATAATCAGAAAAGTTGGTTTCTGGAGATAGTCTCTGGGAGCATAGAAATGAAGTTAATTTTAATAATTTTATTAAGGTCATTTGTAAAGTTCATATTTTAAAAGGAATGTTAGAAAAATTAATTTATAGACTACTTATTACAATTCAGCATTCAGCTTTTGTTAAAATAGATTTTCCTATTTTAAATAAAAATCCATTAAGGTTTTGCTTCCCTTCTCTTCCCTTGCAAAACTATTTTTGTTGAACTTTCTGATTAGAGAATGAAATTGTTAAATAATAAAGACATCACCATCAGCCTCACAGCATCATTTTCCATTAAGGAATGGGGAAGTTCAATGTAAAAATCTCCAAGTTGTACTGGGTAATTTTTAAATTTTAAAATTGAATTGTTTTAATAATGATATGAATACTTGGTAATGCTGAACAGTAGAATAAAAACAAATTACTGGAACTATTTTTAGCAAAAACAGCATTTCCAACCTCTATAATTACTGTGAGAGAATAGTAGTAGATAATCTTTGCTACATCATGGCTTTAAAATTACACATTTATTGTGGGCTAATATGGAATAGCATTTAATGTTTTCCAGCTTCACATGAAATACAATTATCTTCACATTACATTTTTGTAGAGATTGTAAGAAATTCCTTCCATCTGTATGAGGGCTGTACTTATTTTATGCTCTTAACAGGAGACAGTGACATAACTCAAAGACAGTATAGTAAAGACCTGAAGCATATTACTTTCAGTAATGGAGCTGCTCAAAATATTATTCTGGATAACATTTATTTACCTTTTGTGTGTATGGAAATTTCCATACACTGGCTCCTGTCAATACAGAAAAACTCATTTTACTAGTACAAATTTCTCAAAATACTGTTGAGAGAGTTGACGTAGCAATTTTCCAGAAATATTTTTCATTTTTTCTTCTGGAACTATTAATATAATTCACATTGAATATTTGGACATTAACATAAATTCAGAAATTTTGTATTAATGAAGTAAAAGAGAGAGTAAATAATAGGAAAAATAAAGAACAAAATTGCTTTCTGTGCACTTTTAGTATCCATTAACCAGGAAAAGAACATTCATAAGTGGATTTATTTAGTCTTTGAGTTGTTGCCTGATTAGCTCATCAAAAAAGTATCATGAACCTCAGAAACATTAGAAAGTATCAACCTTTCTTTGTTTATTGTTAGAGGAGGCCAGCTTAAAGTTGAGACTACAAATTTCATATTAGAGATTATTAGGGATGAACCTTCATTAAGAGATTTTTTTTGGTTAGGGTTGATGTGGCTTGAAGTCTATTCCTAAACTTTGTCACATGCTTCTGAGTAACCTTGGACAGTTAGTTCACCTCCTTCTCTGCAAAGCATGTTTAATCTTACTTACCACTTCTGCAAAGAACTTTGAAGTTTAAGATTGCGAAAGCATGCTGTAATAAGACACATCATATAAAAACTAGCTTAATATAATTCATAATATACAAGTTAACTTTATGTTGAACTGACCTCCTTCAGCTGAACAGATGACCACAATAGAGCTGAAGGGGCCATCTCCTTTGTTATTATAAACACCAACTTTCACCTCAAAAGGAGTCAGAGGTGGCACACTTTCATCTCTGTAGATGAACTTTGAGGCATCTGAAGATGTGACCATTTTTTCCTTCCAGCCACGTGTTCCATTGGGTCTGAAGGCTACAATATAACCAAATCCTTCTCCGTTCTGAAATTCTTCTGACACTGGCTAAAAAATAAAGTTCAGATAATGATGAGATGTGGTTTTACTAATTTCACAGAATCATAGAATGTTAGGAATTGGAAGAGACCTTGAAAAACCATCTAGTCCAACCCCCCTGCCAGAGCATGATCACCTAGACTAGGTCACACAGAAAAACAGCAGTTGTTCAGTGATTGACCATAATCTGGCTGCTTGAGTAAGAGTCATCCCTTACAGTTGCATTATAGGAATTTACCTATCAAGGCTGGGAACACACATGGAGAAGTGCTTTTGAAGGGGAACCTTGTAAGAGTTTCTTCACCTAGTTAGGTCACTGGATTGAATAAACTCTTGGACTCAGAAAGATTTTTTTCTTCTTTATATGCCACTTAATGCTTTAACTTAACTATTAGTGGAATAGTCCCTTCTAGTGAGCTTGTTAAAAATACAGAGAAACATATTGTTAAGGGGTCTTAAAATACAGTGTGAGCAAGACTTACTACAGTGGCACTCTCTTGGGTTCTAGGTGCCACCTCGTCTAATTTCTGTATCTAAATATGGTGTCAGGTCTTACGGATTTAAGTTTAGGGTTCAATTTGAGACTTATGATACAATGTAATAAATCTAGTTATTCTAACTGTCAAAATGAGTCTTGGTGAAAAAAAAATCTCATTTGCTTTTTTCTTCTCAGAATATCTGTGAAATTATCCACCTAAATTGAGACACATCTGCCATAAGCAGGCAGTCAGCAAAGGGATTTATCTGTTGAGAGGCTGAGCACTGCAAATGCTAAATCTTATATGTCCAGCTCAAGGAATGGAATTTTACATGCTAATTTACTGCCTACATTTCTTATGAAGCCATTGGACTAGTATAGGAATTGGGTTATGTTTAACGGCTGTCAGCACATTAGGCTTATTGGAAATGCTAAAAAAGGGTGTCTAAACTCCCTCTCTTGAAGTGTCCATCTTAGATCTACAGTTAATGAGCGTATGAACCAGAGAATGGGCACAGGGATCACTGAATCCCCTCCCCTCCACATTGCAAGTGAATGTTTCATCACCGGGCACCTTAGCTGCAGACACCATTTTCTACCCATTCTTCTGAACCTGTGCACCGCACATCCAAGAAAAGAAAAATAGTCATGACTCCACAGGTAGAGGAGGCAAAAACAAGACAGACTTTTTAATCTAGTGATTTGAGTTGGAAAAAAGGAGCCTTTTGTCTCTTTGTAATGCTTAGGGAGTTTGCAGTAGACAGTTGCTATAGAAAAAGCCAGAAATACAGGAGAAGTAGCAGAACCCTTGGGTTTCACTGCAATTGCTAAAGAGACAGTCTGTGGGTTAAAGTTACATGAATAAAATGTTGAGTCTGCTGAGTAAGTGTAATTCAGGAACCTAGGTAAGTTAGTCTTTTCCTGAATTCCCAGAGACCCCTATACCATCTTGGTATCTCTTCAGACTTCAAAGCACTTTGTTGAATACCCGTTGTCAGTCCAATAACACTTTTTTGGATCCTGCAAAAGCACAGATTGACTATTCTGGAGATATGCTAACTTGCACTGTGGTTTTGCCTTATTGAATCACAGTGGCTAAACCAGACAGCACAGTAGTCTGCAGTGAGTTCCATAGAATTAGTTCTTTAGCAGAAATTTTAGCAGTTACTTTTAATTCCTTGTTTTTGTGTGTTATGCTCCATCTTTTTACCATTTCTTGAAGAGAGATAGTGACTATAATTCAAAATGGTAGCAATCTTTCAAACTATTAAGAATGTAAATATGCTCACAATTTGTGTTTGACACAGATGAAATACCATGACATTTCTGTGATCTTAACTTGATTAATGACTTTATGCAATTTAAGATGTATGTGAAACTATAGTGGGCTGAAAGTATTACCACTAAGAAGAACAGCACCAGATGGAAACTAGGAGTTAATCTGAAACAAGGGGAAAGGATCAATATCTTCTGTCTTAATGGCAGTGTGCAGTCCTTAGCTATAAGTGAAGAAGCATCAGTTAGCTTTTTTTTGGGAAAAAAAGGTTTTCAATTATTACTAAAAGTTATGTTATGGCAATTACTAATTCTTAACTGTCTGTTGTATCTGTAATGCAGGATGGGACACCCATGGGTCTCTGGTTTCTTTTGGAAGAAGACTTCAACCCTTAACAGAGAGGGAGATATAACACAATCCAGTAGTCCTCCAGTCCAGTCACTTGGGGAACACCATAAGCACATTTTATATGAATACTACATACTAATATATCGTATTAGGGACTGGGATTAGTCCCGTTTACATCAGATAAAGTTTTAGCCACCTGATGTTTTTGTTTGGGATTCAGCAAATTGTCTCCCAATAGGAGACATGCTCTGTTTATATTTTGTCAGTTCTAAGCAAACAGAAAAATGCTTTCTCAGGTGTAGCTCTCACAAGGTAGCTTTAGTTGAGAAAGACAGACATGCCAACAGAAAAGAGCCTCTTCAGATGTCCTGATATTTGTCATAATCAGAGTTCTGTATGTCCTTTAAAATTTGAATCTCTCTTCAAGTTGGATAGGCTAAATTTTTTTATTAAACTCTCATGTCTTTATTTGATGGAATGTTTATCGGTTATATAAATAATTTGAAACTCTTCATGATTAGTCTAGAAGCTTTGAAAATGACACAGTAAAAATCTCTGTTCTACTGTATTATTTATGATTAGCAAAGCAAGCAACTTCCACTCCTCCAGTTGCCCATGGCACAGTCATACATCTGCATTGCATTTTGCATTACAAATAACTTCTCAAATTAAAGGTCTATTGCAGCTCCTTAGCTTTATATTTTTATGAAGGACTTAAAAAATAATAATTCTTTGTTAAATTAAGTTTAAAAATAGTTACAAGGCTGTCCTTCTCTTAGGTATTATTTCATCTGGTGTATCATTTACACAAGATTCAAGAAAAGTCAAATCAGCCTGAGCAGTAGATCATGAAGAAAAGACATGAATTAGCACAACTTTGGAGCTGCGGCTGCATGGATTAGATTCACTATAATGCCCTCTAAATCCACATTACTTTAAAACTTTAGAACATATTTAAAGAACAGTATTTTGTGTTCATGTCTTGCCAGGTTTTGCTGTAAGGAAACCCCAGTACAGTACACTTTACTTTGCCCTCAAAGAAGTAAACACGAAACAAAACTTTTAATCAGAAAAGTCCCTTACCTCCCATGCTATTACTAATTCATGTCGCCTTCCACTTCTGCCACTTACATTAGCTGGAGGTATCTTTGGAACTGTGAGAAAAAAAAAAAAGCAAAACCCAGAATTTCCAAGTTATTGACGTTTTCCCCATAGTAATAACTTGCTGCAGAAGACACAAGGCTGTTAAATCAGAACAGACATAACAAACATAGCACTCTGTAGAGTAAATTACAGAGAAAGAAAATTTGTTTAAATTTCATTTCAAAGAATGCTACAGTCAAGCTCATAAACTCAAAAAAGCATAAGAAGAGGAAAAAAATGAAATAAAAAGCTGTTTAAGCACTAAGCCTCTTGCAGATTAGTCAAATTTTCAAGGTACAGATCATCAGGAATTATCTTGTTAACATTTGTATTTTTTGAATAGAAAATTCAAAATCAAGCACCAGAGAACCTGACATATTTCAGACTTTCGGTAAAATCTTTGGACATAAATAATATGTGTCTATTATTTCCAGGTCATTGGTGATCTAGAATGTTTTGGTTCCTGTAAATCCATTCCTGTATGTTTTACCAAGGAGCCAATTTTCAGAAATTTTAAAGTAACCATCTTTAAATACCCCTTATCCTTTTTGACAAAATGCTGGAATCAATACTTTCTTTTAAAATTGAGACCACTATTATGACTTTAAAAGTACATATGAGCAGCTGACAAAACTCTTTAAAAGAAATTATGACTATCATAATCAGTGTGAACTGTTTTATCATATTTTGTAAACTTCAGAAATCTTAATTTTTCCATTGGAATTGGATAATTTATTTTCTCTTACTTAGTGCCTCTAATGAAACTCCTAAAATGACTAATGTTTTGAGTTTATTTAATTTGTGGAGGTAAGACTTGCATTATTTATTGGAGTACATATATCTTAAGATATAAACTTTCTCTTTTCTTCCTTAGAGCAGTACATAGGTCATTGGTAGAGATATACAGAGATATTAACTGTTAAGGTCTTATTGCATGATGCTTAGCTTATTTATTGAATAGCACTGTACCTTTGAACTATACGAATTGCATCTGATTTACACTGTTGGAAATGAGGTAAGAGCCCTTTTATCTGTGGTTCTTACCAGACTGAAAGGGGAGACTGACTTCTGTGTAATCAGATGACCAAATTGCTTTGCAGATTAATTTTAGCTACTGAGAAACCAGGTATCCAAGCTGAACTTGTGGTCCAGGTCCCCTTTTCACTGAATACAGAGCTTTGGGGGGGGGTGGGGGGTGTGGGGGTTCATCCCACCCAAAGCTAACTGTCTAAACAATGAGGAGAATTGTTTAGACTCTACTGATTGGAGACATGTACTAGTTTATACTAAGACCTAATCTTTACATGGCAAAAAGTTAATCAAATTTTCCCATCAGAAAGAGAATTGCCCTCTGGATTTAAAAGAAAAAAAAAAGAAAAGAACAAAAATAAACACTGTGCAACACTTGGACCACCCAAAGCTAACTGTCTAAACAATGAGGAGAATTGTTTAGACTCTACTGATTGGAGACATGTACTAGTTTATACTAAGACCTAATCTTTACATGGCAAAAAGTTAATCAAATTTTCCCATCAGAAAGAGAATTGCCCTCTGGATTTAAAAGAAAAAAAAAAGAAAAGAACAAAAATAAACACTGTGCAACACTTGGATGAATGTTCTGCAGTGAAAAGATGCAGATGAAGAGTCATATGCCAGTTAATTAGGATGCAAAAATTATGATGTCATCTCTAATGGAGCATATTTAAACCTTATTAAGCACCTAATTTTCTCATGCCTTTCTAAGACATTTTTTGGTGAAGTTATAAAGATAAATTAACTTTTTATGTAGGTCCCATGCTACTGATGAGAGAGTATGCTGTACTCCTGTGAAGCATTCAATGTGATGGACTTCTACCTGCAATGCCCTCTTACTAGAGAGTTCTTGTTAACAGTTTTGCAGTCTGAAGAAGCCCTATTTAAACGAATAAATGTTAAAAGAATAAAACCGTCAAAACGATGAATTTCTTTTGCACCAAAGTAAAATGTACATTCACAGAGTGAAACTCTCTCAAATGAATAACCATTAAAAGAATAAATGTGTCAAAGGAATAAATTTCCTCTGCACTGCACCAAAGTAGAGTATACACAGTTAGATGGGTTCATTTTGAAATGAGTAACTGTTAAGTGAAGAATACTATTAAAAGAAAACATTCTTTGCCAGGCACCAAGTTTATATATTAGCAACTCTTTCAGCAGCATCACCTATATATGTGTTAAATCTGAATTTATTCACTCATAGTCTAATTTTATCGCCATGCAATTAGTGACTTCCCAATCTTTATGTTGTTAATTCTTGGCAGTGACACTCATGGATATGCACTTGCACCAAATACGCAAGTATGATGACTAACTTGGCTACTGGGCACAGGATCCCTGTGGCTGGGGACAAGGACATTAAGATATCTTTTCTTTAGTTTTTATGAAAACTGAGAAACTCAGTATTATTTCTCCGGAATAAATACATCTCAACTAGTAGCAAAGAGCTCTTTGCTATGATAAAGCTCATTTAATGAGAAGATGAGAGAATGTCACCTACTGGAGGATGAATCACTCCTTGGCTTAAAACTGTTCCTTAGGATCATAAAATGTCACTATGCTTAGCTTGATCATATGTCTGTAATTCTAATTAAGTCTTCTCATTAGCTCCTTTGCCAGCTACCTATTCTCACTTGTCTCCTGTTTTATTCTTGCAACATAAGCTCTTTGGCATCAGGTCATCTCTTCTTTTCTTTAGTTTCTTCAGCCACTGATAGGATTAGGAGCTAAAAGCCAAGTCTCTACATTGTTCCCAAAATGCAAACCACAAACTGTGTTCTGAAAGCTGTAGGGACTAGACGTAGCTCACAGTTCACAGTAAATAATGGGTGTATGCTGGCACATGTTGATATTGAAACCTCCACTTAAGGCAAACAAGCAAAAGTGTTGAAATGACTTTACTGAGAGCTTAATTTGAATACAAACAGCAGGGCTGGGGTCTTTTCTTGTTTTCCATTTTCATGGAAGTATTGCGATACACTGAAAATGAACCAAACAAAACAAGATCTGTAATATTTTCTCTAAGAGCGGGTATGAAGAATGTAGCCCTCAGGTTTCCTATGAAGCATTTGACAATATACTTAAAATATAAATGAAGAAAAGGTGATATGGAAAGGTAAAGCTTAAACATGAAGCCACAGCCAACTGTTTACTAAGTCTTGTGTATCTTGTCATTACAAGCTAAATGTGCATGAAAAGCAGTGGGTTTTTTTAGGACAAAATGTAGGCACAAAACTGATTTTGCTCAGGGCTTTGGATATGAGAGCAGTGGTTATAAAGTGCTGAAGAGTCCCAATAGTGCCATCTATATATTTTAAATCTGTATTTAAATGTAAGGTTTGGAGAAGCTTTTGGAAGTGGTAGGTAATACCATACCTATGAAACCATGAACATTTGGGGTAGATATTAGCTTTTCTTTCAGAGTTCCACAGTATCCAACATTTTTAAAACTGCTCTGTGCTTTAGGGTGCTTAAATTAGATTTTTGTTTAGTTTTTAAAAATCTTCTCTCTTCCCTCTATATGGGTGATGGATTTTCTGATGGGCTTTTAATTTTTTTTATTTTAATGAAAACTGTGGGCACTGGTAGACTGTAAAGATGAATCCATTGAAAGATTTTGGGCACTCATTTTTGAGCAAAATATTGAAAATTATTACATATAAAATGTTGACATTATAAAAAATTAAACATAACAATTTGTGTCTTAAAAAGGGGCAGCTTTTTAATTTTACTTCAGCTTTATTTAAAAATACAAAAATTAAAACTAGAAAGGCAAATAAGAGTTTTAAGTTTTATCCAAAATTATAATTTTACTTCAAATTTGCTAAAGAAAATAAAGAAAATCAGCTTTATCCTCCTCATTTTAACCTCAGGGAGTGAACTGAAAAAATATTTTAAACTGCTCAAGCTCTAGATTCCTTTTCCTTTAGAAAAGAAAAGAAAATGTCACATTGAACTTGGAAAAACTGGAAGTACTTGAAATACAGTTCATCCCCTCTTTAACATTCTGATCTTGTAAAGAAATTTAAAAAATGTTATTAAATGAATAATTAATAATTTTAAAGTGTTTGTGTTTTGTCTTTTTTTCAAGAAAATGTCAAGTGGCTTTTTTCAATTCTGTATCTTTTGTTTACTATGGTGAGAAATGACAGATTCTTAATTTTGCAGTGTGTCTTAATTTTTGTGCAGAATAAATAAATATTTAGTAGCCAAAATTATAATTGATTGTAGTATTGCTGTAGAAACATGTAGGTAGATTTAGTTCCTATCCCTCAGTTTTGCAATCTGAAGAGGTGAGATACAAGGAAGACAAAGAGAAGCCTTACTAACCTCTTGTTTTCAGAGTAATAAATGCTAATGTAAGTTGCCCAGATTTACAGAGAGTTATCTGATAAGCAACTGAGTCTAGATTTCCCAAATCTATACCTTCATCTCAAGATCTTTCTTACTCTGCTTGACTCCTGTATTCATGAAGATATATTCCACATGGATATTTTTTCTATAAATTCTGAAACATCTTGTCAAATAAAGGAAAATGAAACAAAATGTTGATATTGCTACACTTTTTGGGGAGATTAATTATTAAACTTGGCTTTAGTTCTTACAAAACTGTTTGCTCAAGGTACAGTTGCAGTTATTTATTTATTTTAGAACTTTTTATATCTTTTAAAATATGGATGCAGTTTGAAAACTAAATATTATTAGCTGAGGAAAATGTATGAGTGGGTGGAAAAGGGTCTGTTGCCAGCTTGGCAGAATTTACTAATGTGAGGACCAAAGCAAGAACACCTTCAGCAGTTTTTTCTTCTCAGTTTTTTTTTCCCTTTATATATATGTATATATATCTCCTGCATTACACATCTGGGAAACACAGGGATGCTAAGTGAAAACCCTTTCACTGTGTGAAAGGCCAGCTCTCAAGTTCTCACCGTCCCAGGAAAACTTTTCACATCTCATCTCTTCAGGAATGAAATGT